ACACACACTCATACACTAACACACACACTAACACACACACACTAACACACGCACACACAGGCAATTAACATCGCGAGTCCAAAGCATGGATACTCTAGCGCCCAGTGGAGGGCGCCATTCTCCGCTCGAGGCGTGTGAGCTTCGCTCTCGACTCGCCCCTGCGTCGGTCCTGACCGCGCGGAGAATCGATGTTGTTCGGCATTCATGTCCGACGTTTCGCTCCACGGCTATTCGGGAGATTGTATTGAGCTCTCGTTTCCTCTTCTCCCCGCACGTTGTACAACGCTGCCGGCCGCTGTTGGTGTCGATGAAATTCTCAGCAGCACGTGGCGCGAAACGTCGGACATCGTGCCGAGCAAGAATTAATACAACGACAAATATACCCCGGAAAGGCTTCACAAGTGCTGGAAATCGAGGACCTATGAAGGCAGGGACGGTATACGAGGGGGGCGGGGGGGGGCAGCGTCACGCCCGACCGCCTTTGTCTCCCCAGTGGTGGTATTGACACACAGCACGAGGTACTCACTTGAGGTTGAGTCAACCGCGAATACGCACACGAAGATAAAGACAAAGGTCCCCTCGTTATAGCCTGAACATACTGTTAGGGGCAAGTGCTGTTAGCGAGCACCTATAAAGGCCGGAACGGTACACGAGGGGGTCGGTAGCCAACACCACGCCCGACCGCCTTTGTCTCCCCAGTGGCGATGTTTACACACCGTACTCATTTGAGGCTGAGTCGACCTAGGGGAGGCCCAGGGCCGGTTCAGATAATCGTCACTGGGTGTTGGCCGTGAGCGGGAATCGAACCTGGGTCGCCGGGTTCATAGCGCAGCGCTTACCGCTACACTACCACTCCCCCACATACACACAGAGACACTCACACGCACACACAGACACTCACACTCACACGCACACACAGACACACACACACACAGACACTCACACACAGACACACAGACACTCACACACAGACACACACACAGACACTCACACACAGACACACAGACACTCACACACAGACACACACACAGACACTCACACACAGACACACACGCACACACACACAGACACACACACAGACACTCACACACACACAGACACTCACACACAGACACACACACATGTACACCTCAATTGCGTCTGTCACTGCCCTGGTGCCCTGACGATGACTGACAGACGTGACTTGTACCCGACCTCGAGCTCGCTCTCATGATGAAATCCCTTCTGTCAGCAGTCAAGATTCGCTCGCTACATGCAGGGCTGCGCTTCTAGCTCCGTAAAGTAACTTGTGATTGATTCAGCAAAAACGTGGGCTGCACCTTATTATTATCATAAGGGGTGGGGGGCGATGTGGGCTTTGTTGTGTTATAATTAAGCGAGCTGGACAGGTGTGCGGACATACTCATATAGATTGTTTGCGCTCGCCGTCTTTAATGATTATAGAAAAACACCTCCACCATCGTTAACTTACTGACAAATTAGTCCCAGGAGACATGATGAGCTGACCCACTTTTTAGTTGTTGAGCTAATTAAGCCCCTCCCCCCACGCTCCGATACAAAAATCTTTAAATACTTATCAACACATTTTCTATTCAAGGCATGCATATAATGTCAGCCATGACTAACTTAATTCTGAGTTTTTCAGGAATACATTACGTTCTGAATGCCATATTTGTAAATGATGGGAAAATATCATCATCATCACCACCATCATCATCATCACGGAATGATAGCGTAGGCTGGGGAAAAAAAGATCTTGCAACAAAAGTCATGGGAATCGTGTGAAACGCACTACAACCGTTTGTGACATCCGCAACCCCACCCTTCCATAATTTCCTAAATAAGTAAATTGCGCTACTCTCTGGTCTTGGGATCATCGTCAAAATAAATTTGAAAAGATATCACCGACAAGGTCTGAGACAGACTGTGAGAGCAGTGAGCGGTGGTGACCGTACCGTGCTGATGAGTATTCTTAGGTTTTTTCGGTAAAGTCACGTAGGTAAAACATTTCAATTAATAAAAGTAAAATAAAATAAAAATTACGACGTTTCGGAGGCAACACAAGCTTCCGTCTTCAGGTGGAACCGTCACAGCACGCTTGCTGTTTTGTTTTACTTGATACAGCTATCGTGCTGTGACGGTTGCACCTGAAGACGGAAGCTTGTGTTGCCTCCGAAACGTCGTGATTTTTATTTTATTTTTATTTTACTTTTATAAATTTTAAATTTTTTACTTACGTGATTTTACCGAAAAAACCTAAAAATATGAATCCTTGCAGTCACGAAAGCTTAAAATCGTGCTGATGAGCCCTAATGAAGATGACACCGGCCCAACATTTGCTCAAATTTATTTTGACGGTGATCTAAATGTTGATGGTAAATTTTTTTTAGCAAATGCCACAAATGTCTGCGGTGCTTCTTTTGTTGGTTACGCATTTTTGTTGTTGTTGCGTCTATAAGTTCGACACTTTCTGGATTGTAAGATGCCCGGTAGTCAAATAAAGTCGTGCAATTGTGGTCCCACACGCACGCAAACACACACACACATATACACCGGTACATAAGGTGGGGGCGGGGGGGGGGAAGTGCGTCTTATAATATAGAGAATCCGGTCATATTAAAAGATATATTAAGAGTTTAATTGGCGCTCCTTTAAGGCTATTATGATAACACGTCAGATGATTTCCAGGGACACACAATTACGCATCCGTTGTTGCTATTAGCTTTCGAAATTAGGGCGGCGTACCTTCGAAAGATAAATTATTGTGAAATGTTTGCAACGAGCATGTTTATGTTTTTGCGTTCTCCCAAAAGACGCATCTATAATGGCGTTAAGTATTTCTGCACAGAATTGCGAAATAAAAACACGAAATAAAGTAAAAAAAGAACCCAACATATATACACGTACAATTCGAAATTAAGTCTTAAATCTACCGCAGCGGGCTCCATTTAACTGGCGAATGGCCCTAACTACATGGCCATCATTTCCAGAAGTCACACCGCGTGGACGCGGGGAAAGAGGGACGCATGTGTTACACCACGAGGTCTCTATGCACGCCTACCCCCGCCCAAACAAGAAGGGGGTTAAATCCGTGAATGAAAGCCAAAAAAAAACCCAGGCCCCCTTCGCACTCATTCCAGGCCCACGATTTGTTGCCAGCGATGCGGGACTTTGGGTGAATGGCTTAATTATAGTAATGAGTATCCCCGTTTTCGTGCGTGTGGGGGTGGAGCGGGGGATTGGGGGGGGGGGGTCCTGGGGGGTGGGGGGGTGTGTAAGGAGGCAGGGATAGGAGAAGGGTAACTCAGCGGAGCGCCGTCTCCCCGGCCTGATGATGATGAATGCGAGGGAGCGCTCCGCATCCGCGTGTGTAATGTCGTTATTTCATGGCAATGGGCTCAGAAGTGATCGACTTGGCCGCGCGCGAATTTCGGTGGAAAGGGGGTGGCTGGGTCAGTGGCGCAGCAGGCAGGAGAGACGGACGGACGGATGGATGGGGAGATGGACAGACGGACGGAGAGACGAACGAATGGAAGGACAGACAAATTGGCGGACGGGCGTAAGAACGTACGTAAGAACGGACAGAAGGGACAGACACACAAGGCAGTTAACGGAGAGATTGGACGGAGGGATGCACAGACGGACGGACAGTCGGACGCGAGCAAGCGGGTACCGTGAGTGCACTCGAGTGCACGCAGGCGTTATCAGCTCTCACCGATACCATCATCATCATTATGCCCTATAGACACCTCTCGCAGCCTTAGACCGTTGGGCCAAGTGCTGTTAGCGAGCCCTATTATTAAGGCCGGCACACGGCTCTTCAGAGCTCCCTCCACAGAAGAGGGGTATTTGGCCTACTCTTCCACGCTGGCCGGAAGTCTTGTAAGAGACTAAGAATATAATTGGGGGTGTGGGGCGGGGGCTGTGGGGGACAGCAGTTGAGAGTAAGCGCTAGTTGTTGTTGTTGTGTGGTTGTTGTTTCCTGGTGGTGGCGGAGGGTGGTTGGTTGGTTGGTGGGGAGTGGTGGTGGATGGGGGGGGGAGATGTCTGGCTCGTAAAACACTGGCGGGGAATATTCGGCAGTGGAGGAAGGGAAGCGGGGGACTTGGGGCGATTTTCACGGCAGATTATTTCGTGAGTTACGGCATTAATATTTTAACAGCCCCCTAATATGCATGTCATTGCTCAGCCCCGCACGGATAGAAGCGAAGCCGCATTTCACGATCATTCCTGGCTGTCCAAATCTGCCCACCACCCCCACCACCCCCACCACCCCCACTGCCTTTCTCTCTTCCCCCACCTACCCCCCCCCCCCACCACCACGTGCCCCCCACCACCCCCACTCTCCCCCTACCTACCCTTCCCCCCACCTACCCCCCCCACCACCACAACGTGCCCCCCACCACCCCCCTCTTCCCCCACCTACCCTTCTCCCCCACCTGCCCCCACCACCACCACAACGTGCCCCCCACCACCCACCCCCACTCTCTCTTTTTTATCATATTTTTTTCTTTTGTTTATTTTTGTTTTCTCTTTTAATCTTTCCCTTTTTATTTATTTATTTTTCTCTCGTTTCTCTCTCCCCCCACCTACCCCCCCCCCCCACCACAACAACGTGCACCCCACCACCCCCCGTTCGTGCCGGGGGGGGGGTGGTGGGGGGAAACCTCTCGGCGAACGGACCGGGCGCGAGGCGAGTGCGGGGGGGATGGAGTGTGGGAGAGCGAGCGCTGCGTTGAATTGAGCCGCTCGCCTCTCTCTTTCTCTCGATCTGCCACTCCCCTCTCTCTCCCTCCCTCTCTTCTGCCCACCAATTCCCTCCCAAGCATCTCACCTCCCACCCACCCACCCCGCTACCTCCCCTCCACTCCCTCTCTACCCCCCACCCACCCATACAACCCACGCCTCGACACGCAAACCTAGCCAGCTACCCAGCCCCCCATCCAGCACAAGCACTCCTCTGGTCGCGGATTTGTGTCGAGTAATAACTGCGAGAGCCGCCACTGTTTGGTCGTGGTGGTGGTGGCTGCAGCGGAGACGGCGTTTGCTGGCTGGGCTTTCGCGTGGGCTGCTCTGCTACTGCTGCTGCTACTGCTGCTTTTGTTATTGCTGCTGCCCCTACGCAAGGCAATGCGCTCGATATCCCCGCGAGCGAGACGCAGTATCAGAGGCAGCGGACATCACAGCGCTTCGCAGTCCACCTGCTAACACCACCATCATCATCATCATCGCCGCAGCCGCCGCCGCAGCCGCCGTCACCCGGTTCCTCCGGCCCGAGATCAACTCGGCGCAACAGCGGGGCGAGGCGTCGCCACTTCTTGGCGATTTTTGTCACGATCAACTTTTTTTCCGCGTCGACTTGAAATTCAATTCCGTGCTCGCAGCTGAAAGCGCGAGGCACCCGTCCACCCTGCACGCTGCGCCCGGCGCGTGCAACGCAAGTTTGCGTCTCATCCTCCAGCAGCGGAGCCCCTAAATCAACGGGCGACCGACCAACATCCATCGTGGGTGACCCGCTCGCGGACGGCGCGTTCACCACGGCAAGCAAACAAGATCCGAGGGATACTCCGAGATCGAATTGACAGATCGTCGCTCGCTCGCCGCCGCCGTCATCCCAGTCGCTCCGAGTTGCGTTGTCCCCCTTCTTCCCGCGGGAGGAGAGATGGTGGGCAGGCGCGGGGGGTGTTGGTGATGCCCCCTTGCAGATCATGGTGACAGGGTCCCACAGCTCACACAGCCTCGAGAATAATAATAATCCCGTTACGTCGACATGCCTCCCATGTCTCCGTGGACCATGCTGCCACGGCAGCTGCCCTCCACTTCCTCGACGCCGCCGCCGCCTCTGCTGCGGCTGCTGCTGCTGCCCCTTGCCGTAATGTGTCTGGCTCTGGGGGCAGCCGAGTGCGAGCTGTACGGGGCAGTGTCGATCCACAAAATCATCGTCGGGGGCAAGCACCGCGGGCCGCTCACCGCGGCTCATTCGCCCTCCTCCCTGCGCTCTCGTGGTGAGTGCGGCTCCTGAGTGAGTGAGCGGTGCGAGTGAGACGTTCTTCCTCTTGTCCGTACGGCTTCATGTAGATAGATGGCAGGGCAACGGTTGCAATTTCACATGCAGGTGGTCAAGCCCAGATCACGGCGTCAGGATCGGCAAAGTGCGTCGCTGCGTAAACGTGAGTGAGCTGAGTGGAGCGAGCGAGCGAGCTGATATTGGCGCTAAGAAGCTGGCGAAACGAGTTCGATTCCCCGCTCACGGCCAACACCGGTGACGATTATTTGAACAGGTCATGGGCCTCCCCTAGGTCGGCTCGGCCTCAAATGAGTACCTGGGTGCGGTGTGTAGTAAACATCGCCACGGGGGAGACAAAGGCGGCCGGGCGTGGTGCTGGCCACCCACCCCCTCGTGCGCCGTGCCGGCCTTCATAGGTGCTACTCGCTGACAGCACTTGTCCCAACAGTCTGTTAAGGCTATACGGGAGATCTTTGTCGTCTGTGTGTGTGTGCGCGCGCACTCGAGTGCTGGCACGACGCGCCTGATCCAGGCGATGCGCAGACACACACACACACGGATACAATGCAATTGCCTACCCTCCCGTTTCGCATTTAACATGCCGATTGGGCGAATGCTGTTAGCGGGCATCTATTTAAGGCCCCCACGGAACCGCGAAGGGTTTGGGTGGCCAACACCACGCCCGGCCGCCTTTGTCTCCCCGAGTGACAATTGTCATTACACATCGCACCAGGTACTCAATTGAGGCTGAGTCGACCTAGGACCGAGTTCGGATAAACGTCACTTGCTATTGGCCGTGGGCTGGCGGAATGGAACTCGGTTCGCCGCACGGACACACACACACACACATCAAAAACATACCCACAACCACCAACAACAACCACAACATCACGTGCCGCGCACGATGATCACCTCCAGCGCGACAGATTGAGCACGCGCCGAAGAATTGTTCAGCATGGGGGGCTCCTCGATCCGTTGAGATTCGCCCCCCCCCAAATGGTGTTGGCTACGGCACGCGCCACGACCGCCTGCCTCTGTTCTCTCACCGACCCCGCCGCTGATGAAACGCGCACGCCACCTCTCCACCATCAGGGTCTTCGCTTTATTTTGGGAATCCGTGGCACCTGGCGGGGGGAGCCTCGGGAAAGAAGAAAGAGAAACCCCGTGTCTGATACCGTCTGCCAAACTGATTCGTACAGCCGCGGTCTGGACTCGAACCTAAAGTGGGCCGTTCTCGTAGCATGCGCACAGATTATTACGCAAAGGATGACAGGCTACTGACAGTACAGACCACTGACAGTACAGCTCACAGTACAGCCCGCTCAGAGTACAAAATACAGACAGTACATCCCATTGACAGTACATCCTACAGACAGTACATCCCATTGACAGTACAGCCCACTGACAGCACATCCACTACACACGCAGTGCCTCTAGGACCGCACCGCCCCGCGCGCACCTCGTCGCTGTATCTCGGAAGCTAATCGGGAATTGTGGAGCCCGGTTACGACTTGGATGGCAGGCGATGCGGGAATTATCGCGCAACGTCAGATCTGGGATGCGAGGCAGCCAAGGGCAGCACGTGACAACGCGGCAATTGGAATTCTTCATCGGATCTGCGCGGATCTTTTGAGTGTCGGTTCACTCTGCCGCACGGGCTGGTGTTGGGTGCTTCCCTCCTCGTGTCTTGGATATTCCCTGCTCGGTAGATGATGAGTCGGTCATCCACGTGTGGGGCAGGACCCTCCTGGCAAACGCGTCTCGAGAACTCGGCCAGGAGTGTCGTGCGTAAGACGATTATCTTGCACGCCGCCATGCGATGTTGTGGCACGATCAATGCACGTGGTTGGTGAATGCACTACGAGGACAATCTCGGTTTAGGATTACCCTGAATACGGGAACGGTGGGCGAAAGATCTCAGAGCGAGTAGCTATTTCTAAGGGCACGAGGTTGTGGTTGATCCAGAGCCGCGCGTGACCCGCCTTTGTCTTCGCTAATGATCACGGTGACGAGTGTGGATATCGTACGCACCAATAGCAGGTATTCATTTAAGGCTGAATCGACCTAGGGGGGAGTCCCAGGTCCGGTTCAGATCATCGTCAGTGGTGTTGGCCGTGAATGGGAATCGAACACGGGTCCGTTGGATTTGTAGCACAGCGGGTTATGCTGTAAACAAAGATACAGACAAACATCCCCCGTATAGCTTTAACAGACCGTTGGGGCAAGTGCCGTTAGCGAGCACCTGTGAAGACTGGTACGGCATACGAGGGAGTGGGTGGCCAGCACCACGCCGGCCGCCTTTGCCTCCCCCAGTGGGGATGATTACACATCGCACCGGCTACTCATTTGAGGCTGAGTCTACTTAAGGAGGGGGGGGGGGAGATCCAGTTCCAGTTCAGATAATCGTCACCGGTGTTGGCCGCGAGCGACAACTCTGGAATCGCCAAGATTTGTCGCGCGGCGGCGCCAACCGTTGCACCACCGCTCCCCACACGCGCGCGCGCACCCGCGGGTACGCCTGTTCACACACGGTCACTTCGGCGTGCACACACGTACGCGCGCGCGCGCGGAGGCAAATGCACAGTTGCCACCACCACCACCACCACCGTAATTATGATTATAGCAACAGCTGAGATGCACGGTGCAAGGGAGCACGTGTAAACTCGGACCTCGTGTAAAGTTAGACATCGATTTCCGTGGCCGGTGTGATTAATGCCGAGCTGAATCGCATCAATGGGGGCGGGAAAGACGGATGATTGAGCAAAGACAAAGATGCCCCCCCCTCCCCCCGTGTAAACCAGACTGTTGGGGCAAGTGCTGTGGGTAGCGAGTAGCAAAACCGATGTGGGCACACGAGAGGGGGGTGGGTGGTTACCTCCACGGCCAGCCTCCCTTGATTACACACGGGACTCGGGACTGATTTGAGGCTGAGTCGACCTAGCGCGTGCACGTACAGAACGCACGCGCATGCAAAGATACATATGACCCGTGTAGGCTCGGGGCCAGTGCTGTTAGCGAGCACCTATTGTTAAATGCCAGCAGCTGCTCGAGAGGTGTGGGCCCAATGGCATTTGTTTCAGCCATCGCTGATTGTATTTTCTCTCTCTCTTATCACCGCGCAAGGTGATGGTTTCAGGCTGAATCGACCTAGGGGAGGGGGAAGGGTTCCATTACCGTGGCCGGTTCGAATACGAATGTGCTCCACTAACGTTGGCCGCGCAAACGGGGAATGGAACCCGGGCGTGTTTAGTGCATTGCGTTAAACCATTCTCGTCATCGCTTCACAATCGCACGCGCACACACACACAAAGACAAAGACCCCCCGTATAGCAAGTGCTGTTAGCGAGCACCTATGAAGGCCGGAACGGTACACGAGGGGGTGGGTGGCCAGCACCATGCCCGACCGCCTTTGACTCCCCATTGGCGATGCTTACACATCGCACCAGGTACTCATTTCAGGCTGAGTCGACCTAAGGGAGGCCCAGGACCGGTTCAGATAATCGTCACTGGTGTTGGCCGTGAGCGGGAATCGAACCCGGGTCGCCAGGTTCATAGCGCAGCGCGCTAACCGCTACACCACACGCATGCACGCGCACACACACACGCACGCACACACACGCACAACCACGCACGCACACACACGCACGCACACATGCGCACACATGCACGCACACACACGCATACACACACGCACACACGCACACGCGCGCTTGCGAATTCTCTCCTCGAGACATCCAATCTAGCAGTTTGGGGATTCCCCCTCCGTCCTTCACAGCTCACCGTCTTCATCGCGAGCACTGCATCGCTCGTTCGTTACAGAGCAAGGGAGCAAGTACTGTTAGCGAGCACCTATTATTATTAAGGTCGGACACGCCTTTGTCTCCCCACTCCCCGATTTGCTTTTGTTTTACCTACCGTGCAAGGTGCGAATTTTAAGGCTAAGTGGACCTAGGGGAGAGGTCCGATTGAAGAGCGCCTCTGACACCACTCGCCCACTGATCGTCATAGCCGTGGTCGAGAATCGCACTTGAGGCGGGGGGGAGGGGGTTGGCCGTGTCCATTGTCGCTCAGCCACCGCTCACAAAAACAAAACCAAAACGCCGTGTCCCCCACGTAGAACCATCAACGGACTGGACAAACGCGATTAGCGAGCACCTATTAAAGCCGCATTCGTACACGAGGGGGCAGTGTGGTCAAAGCAATGAACGCGGCGACGTCCGTCTTTGTCTCCCCATTTTTGCCGATGCTGCACGCATTTCATCACGCGTTTATTTAAGGCTGAGTCGACCTAGACGGAGACCCCGCGCCGGTTTAAATTAGTTTTTTTTTGTTCGCTCCGTGCACCGAGGGTAGGATTCGAACCGTGGACGGCAAAGGGTCGGAGCGATGCAAAATGCCGCCTGCTCGCTGGGGTTGGAGGTGCACCGTTCTCCCCCCAGTTCCGTGCAAATTGCATCGGCACGCACGCTTGCAGTGCAGAGCCCATCGCTGCCTCAGCGCTGCTTACGGGGATACCTCTTGCCGCTTGCGTCTTGGCTTAGCGGTGCGATTTGCAAAGGCAACGGACAAAAGGTAAAAAAAAAAGTTGCAAAAGCGCAGCCCTGCAATAGCTCGCTCACGCCACTGCTGGGCGGAAGAGCCTCCACCAGAGGGAGCTCATGCGGTCAGATTGCTTGCGGCCCACGCCGTGGCAAGCGTACCGATCATCTCGCTTCAAGTGCGCGCGTTTAAGTCGTCGCACGCTGCACGCGCCCGATGATTGTTACACCCCCCCCCCCCAACGTGCCGTAGAGACGGCGGGTGATTTGACTCCGGCGAATAAATCCCGGGCTCGATTCGAGATGCATGATGCAACGCACGCAACGCAACGCACGCAACGCACGCAACGCACGTTGTACATCATTGTGAAATCGGCGGCCTTCTACGCCATTTGGGACAAAGACAAAAATTCCGAGGCTGTCGGGGCAAGTGTTGTCAGCGAACACCGAATGGAGGTCA